TAGTATAAAACAAAGTCGCTTTCGCTGTATGTCCGTATGTATGCTTAGATCTTTAAAACTACGCAACGGATTTTGATGCGGTTTTCTTTAATAGATAGAGTGATTCTTAAGGAAGGTTTGTATGTATATACATATTGCACCCGTGCGAAGCCGGGGCGGGTCGCTAGTTATTATATATTATACATAAAATGAAATCGAAGTGGAAAATATAATTAATTTAATATTTCAGGTGTACCGTTATGTTGTGGAGGATCACTACGAGCTGATTGCAATCATCTCTGGAGTTGTGCAAACTGTGCTGTACTGTGATTTCTTCTATCTGTACATTACAAAAGGTAACAAACTGCATATTTCTTTGTACTGCTTCCTCCAAATTCAATCATAAGCTTAACATTCACACACTATTTCTTTGACTTCATTATGATGCCTTACAAGAGGTGTATTATATGATTTATTATCCAATTAGTTTCCTTAAAAATATGCATAACAAATATTTTCCCTCTTTTTTCTAGTATTGAAAGGAAAGAAACTGCAGTTGCCGGCCTAAGCCTGAAAGCAAGAGGATTGCATTAAATCAATCTGACAGTTACGTCTGTGAATATATCTGTGTGAGCCAATAAATTACCTAAGATCTAGTTGTACAAACATTACCGGTATTGTACTGTTGTGAAAATGTTGATTTACTAATGGCAATTATGTGTGATTGTGTATCTTCATTAACTTGTACAGCCACAAGCAATAATAAATGGTATTTTGCATTAAAACCAGTCTTAATCATGTCTACTTAGTGCTATCACCAACACAGTACTTTATTGGCTACTGTACATAATTTAACATTTTCTACAACTATTCACTACCTTGTATTAATTAAAATGAATTCATCACACCAATAGATTGTAATTATATGCAATCTTAAAAGAGCAATAATATTCTTTGGCTTCCATTTTACTTAATAAAATTATGTGAATGTGGTCCCCCTGATTTATAATTACATCTTAAAACCTAGGCTAAAATTCTAATATGCATTCCTGTAACAAAAGTGGTATATCTGACAACTAATTTAAGAATTTGGAGATATACTAAATTAAGTAATTACATGACTAGAGGCTTTAATTTTCTCATTTGTATTGTTTCAATCATTGCTTTAATTCAGGTTTCTCAATAAATTAGGATGAAATATAAAAACAAGTAAAATGTATGTCTGTGCTGTTAATGTTAGAGTACTACTGGATAGTTTGAGGAATTAAAAGTTGTATGATAGGTATTATTAAATAGATACATTTAATATATTGGCATAAACCACTTTTTATTGTTCGTGACTGTACTTAATTTGAATTGCAGTTAACCTATCTAGTTATTGACAATATTTTCAGTGCAATTTAATTTTTAATAGCCACCTATTGTGACGCAAATTGTTAAATACCTTTTTAACAATGTATTGTCAAGGATATGATTTTGTATCTTACCCTTAGATTATATGAACTTTGATTATAATATTGTATTTGTCATTTCTTCCCATTAGGTAAGATTTTCGACATTTTGAATACTAGGCAATGCTTAATTGATAAGGTTTTAAAATAACTTCTATAGTTCGTATTTGCCAATAGTTTTATACATTTTATGGTGTATGTATCTGTCCCACACTATCTCAAATTATTTTGATGAGTTAACTGAAACCAAAATTAGTATTACATGGACTTGTGTGCAATTTGTCATGTCAAAGTATTCTATGCATGGCATTTCAATGTATGGGATGTCAATTATACCATGTATTAAACACTCCTTCCATACATTGTCACACAACTTATTAAATAAATATGTATTTAAGTGTACAATATTGTTTATTTTACTCCATTTGGTTATGTCAACAAGAAAGAAGGCATGCATGCCATATGCCACTTAATATATTTTTCATTGTTACTTACATTATATCTTATTATTTTTTATAAATTGTATTATAATTTTCTTCTATTTTCATTTGAACTATAAGTAACTGTCAAATTAAAGATCTGCATTTCATATGCGACTTTAATCTACTTCTTATGTAGTTCTATTTAAAATTTTACTTAATATTGTAGCTCTATTTCCTATAACATCATTCGATATTATTCTACACACTAAATGATTAGTGTTCACATTCAGTCATTTAAACGTAACTAAATTCAATACAGATTTAGATCAAACATTGCGTTTTTATACAGTTTAGTCTTAAGACCCTATTGTAATGTCTTGATATATAAGAATTATGAATAAATGAAATTTGGAAGTGAAGAGATGTTTTTAATCTCTTTTAACAGTTATGGTTTATACATTTCGACTGGTGGCTGCATTATGCATTTAAGTACGAAGGAAAGAAGTGAAGAAAAGTTTACTTTGGGCCCATAACTGAGCATTGAACTAAGTATGCCAAAATATGTACCTGACAACCATATTCAAACTATCTGTTTTAAAAAATAAATACCTAGTTTTCTTAACTAAACACTTATCGAGTAGCATAGTCAATGAAAAATGGTTACTCATTAACATGTTCAAAGTCAAACGAACTACCTACACACTACAAAAGTTTACAACTACTGAAGTAACGAATCATAAATTATAGGTACTGTGCCACGGTCACTTTACGTCCGTGCCTATTATAACATTATAACGGATCTACCTACATGCACGACGTCACCAAAATTCCTGAACGGTAGATTGTTAAATTGTAGATGTACACCTCTGATGTCTACAATTTAACATGACCTTTCAAAACTTAAGTATCTACGGTAGGTAATTAGAAGTGAGATTTCTGCCATACACTAAGCACAATTCCAGATTCAGAGTAAACTCCAGTAAACTCCGAAAATCATGAGCTCTCGCCACAACACCCGAGACTACTTGCTCGACAGTTGCACTTGTGAGCGTATTAGACCAATGAGGCACTGATGTTTTCGAATTTATGTTATCGTCAAACGGAAGGTCATTGAACTAAAATTAAGATTACATAAACAGGCATACAGCTCTATATATATTCAGTTATTCGGCTATTTATGCATGTATCTTTTTAAAACAGACTGGTTAAGAGATAAATAAGCGTTCCTGCAAATAAATTAGGTATCTATTTTTTTTAAGGGGGAAAATCATCGAGCGACTGCTTCCGCCTGGGTGAGGCGGGAGGGAGTGTCAGACTCTTACTGACTAAAAGCCACCCCGTTCCTTCTCCTGCACTTCGAGCCGGAGCCCCGGTAACCCTATTACTGGTGATATTTAGATGTTTTTAAACCTATTTTAGTTTCCCATAATTAGTGACACTTGGCTGTTTTATAGGTATACCTACCTACACAGACATACAAATTCAAAGAGGTAGGTAGGTACATAAATCACCCTAAAATCCGGGGTGATTTAGATTGATTAGGGCCTGGATCACACAAAGTATGGTTCCATAAGGAAATTAAACCTGGAACACGTTGCGCAGCGGCCGCTCGCCCAATCTCAGCACCAACAAAAGTGCAATCTGGTACCTATCAAAAATAAATTCGGGTTACAGTGTATTCCTTATTTGCAACACATTAATTACACGTTGTATACCCACCCCTCTGGGCTCGCTGCCACCGCAGCGGTAAGTCCCCTCTTTGAGGAGTGGGAGTGTTGAGAGACGCTACGGCGTCCTCACCTACCGCCTGACGCAGGTCCTCACCGGACATGGCAGTTTCGGGAGGTACCTGTGTCTGATGGGGCGGGAGGAAACGCCCGGGTGTCATCACTGC